AGGTCAAGTGGACTGTGTAACGCTAGTATTTTTCAAAATGTTTATGACAAACAGTGCACATGCTATATAGCATAAACTTACCTCTTTAATGTCAAAAATATGCTGTATATCGGCACAATGAACTATATTGAAAATAGGTCAAAGGTCAAGCTCAAGGGTCATGAGATCGGCAACCATGGCATTTTACAAAAGCCTTAGTGTCAAGTAATATATGTGCAAAATATCAAACACATACCTCTTACAGTGTGACAGACGGACGGATAGCTAGACAGACAGACAGACAGCTAGACAGACGGAAAGACAGACAGACAAACGCCTGGTAAAGCTCTGCAGGCGACACAACACAATTTGTTCTTAACCGGTGTTTGAGAGAAAATTCAATTTAATAAATGGTAACTGGCTTATCGTGGAAATTAAGATAAATTTATTATCATTAGGCAAATTATCTTTGAAATTCTTTTACTCCACCTATGCAAATTTAGATTTTTCCAGGCCCCGGGATCATGAAACATCTTAAGCTTAAGTCAAATTATTTATGTTTTACTAAGAAGTTGTAGAAGTCACGCAGACCAAAATTAAAATATTTTTCAATATTACTTTACAAAAGTGTTGCTATCTGCAAATTTTGATATAAATTCAATAATTAATAAACATTTTATAGGTGATTGAAATTTTGACTTAAGTCTAAATCTGTTTCATGATCCTGGGGCCAGATATTTATCCACTTCCTTTTTTCAATTTTTAACTGCTGAGACAGGTTAGTTAAAATTCTGTTAAAAAAGTCAAATCAACTCATCCATCCATATTCTACAATCTATAGAACAATTTAATTTGTTGATCTTTTTCTTATTTCAGATATAATGGCAACCTGGAGATAAGACCTTTGATTGAATGTTTCAGTTACTGACACAAAATCGGCACTTTTAAATTTAAAATATGGACAGTTGATAATGAATATTAATTGGTTAATGTTGGGTTGGTGATCGTTGTACATATAATTAACAAACTCTTCTGTTATTCTCAAGAAATTCAAATAGTAGATAAATGTATAAATAAAACCCATAGTGGCAATATCATTAGAGGCAATATCGGAGATCAACCAAGTGTGCTACTTGCCCGTTTAGAACGGTACTTTCAATATGTTGTTGGTGGGGGTCGACAATTATTAAGACATATCTTTGCAACAATATATTCGAGAAGTGGCGTAAATCAGATGTGGATACTTAAAAATTCCAAGGAACTTTTGGAAAATTTGAAATCACAAGGTTTTACCAAAATCAACAGCTTAAAAACTTACGACTTTTCAACTTTATACACAACCATTCCCCACGATAAATTAAAGTCAAGGCTTTTTGATATCATTGACAGCTGCTTTTTCAATAAAAATGGAACTCGTAAATTTACTTACCTTGTCATTGGTCATTTCCAAATTATTTTGTTAAAAAACATTCTGATTGTACACACAAGTACTCTGAAGTTGACATTAAAAAGATGCTTGAGTTTCTGATTGACAATATCTATGTGGTTTTTGGAGACCAGGTCTTCCAACAATCTATTGGAATTCCCATGGGTACCAATTGCGCCCCGTTATTAGCAGACCTTTTTTGTTTTCATATGAAGCAGAATTTGTCCAAAATCTTGAACGTGAAAAGAAGAAAACACTTGCTGTGGCCTTCAACTCGACATTTAGATACATCGACGACGTATTGTCAACTAACAATGGCTATTTCCATTCTTATGTCGATACGATATACCCTTGGGAGCTTGAGATAAAAGATACCACAGAGTCTGACACATCTGTTTCATATTTGGATATTTTACTTGAAAAAGACGTAAATGGTAATCTAACAACCAAGCTTTATGATAAACGTGATGACTTTAACTTTTCAATCGTCAACTTCCCTTACTTATGCAGCAATATACCTTCATCACCTGCATACGGGGTATATATCTCTCAGCTGATTCGATACGCAAGAGCATGCTCTACGTATGTACAATTTCTAAAACGAGGTAAATTATTGACAAACAAGTTGATGAAACAAGAATATCAGCTGTCGCGTTTAAAGTCATCATTTCGTAAGTTCTATGGGCGATACAATGACCTTGTCAGCAAATACAATTTATCACTGAGTCAAATGCTGACTGACGTTTTTCATACAAATTGTTAGGCCATTATTTACACACTGAATTGTCGACGGATTTTTCCGTTATTTCCCGATCATGACAAGGAACACACGGCGGGTGTGACCGGTCGGCAGGGAATGCTCACTCCACCATGGCACCTGATCCCACCTCTGATGTTTGGAGGTCCGTGTTTGCTCTGCTCCTATTTTGTATTGTTTGATGGACTTTTGAGCCTGAATACTGTTCGTTATCTTCATATATTTCATTGCTCTTACACAGTATATGCAAGGTAACTAGTTGAAATTGCCTGACAATTTTATTACATGAAAATTTATATGGGCATATTAGTGGTGTCTTTGGTAATGAAAAACTGTTAGGAAAAAGATCTTAAGATTTTTATTCCAGAAACTTCTGTCTGGACTAAATTAACTGAAATAGTTGAACAGCTGGTTTTATGCCAGGCCGGGTATTATGGTGTTTCTTTGGCTGTTTGTTTTGTCCTCATCTTTAACCTTGCTAATAGGTTAACCTAACTTTTACAATGAACAGCATGGAGACTTCATACAGCGCACAAAAACTAGCTCTTGACAAGAGAGTTTCTCATGATCCAGACCAAAAGTTCTTTGGAAAGTATCAAGGTCATATGGATTGGAAGGTAAAATTGTTGTTTGGTCAACAGCATTGTGATAGAGAAACTTTAACAGCTCATAGAGTATAAAAGTATGTTATAACACAACTGTTCAAGTTTAACACACCAGTGAATATAAAGATATACGCAGTACAATCTTTTATTCACAATTCCATTATGTTCTATAATTGCCAAAGAAATACGCATACAACACAAAAAAAACACAAAAATTTAATTTTTTTTTTACTACACGCTAATTTGCAAAAGAATTAGTACAAATACATTGCCACACTACATGTATTTCAGATCAGAATCAACATCTTTTAAAGGTCACAACCTTTAACTATTTTAATCACAAAAAATTTAATCCACAGAGAATGTCAGATTCAGGTCATCTTTTTCCATAGATTAAAAATATGATTTAGTTTAATTTCTAATATTCTTGTTCAATTACATGAGATTTGTTTTAATCTAGATAAAACTTCCTACAAAATGCAAAATAACTGGAGAGAGAATTATATTTCTAAACTATATTAATACATTTTCATTGAAATAAAATCGTAGATGTAGTCTCTATTGTCCTAATACTGGTGTACAAAAAATAACTGAAAAAAATATAAACGAATAAAAAGAGATTTCAACATAATTTAAAATGTCGTGCCTGCATTGCGATTTTCTGAAGGCAACAAGTAGCACAGTATCATTTTAACCATTTAATCAACTCATCGTGTGGTTATTTGCCTTAAAAAATTTACAGCATTATAATTTCATAACAAGGTTTGATAAACCTATCCTGATAGAAGTTTAACTTGTTTCTCCTTTAAAAACACTTGTATCAGAAAACACTTCTTTCGTCACCTTCAGTACATGTCAATGTCATTGAAGTTTAATGTGACATGCAAGAAAATGAATTTAAAAAAATTAAATAAAACACGACACAAAAAGCAGTCTGCAGTAAGATCTTCAAAGCTCATGATTCAACTACTTTTGTATATTTTAGCGATTTTGAAAATCAAGGAGAATGTTTTGGCTGTGCAACGCCCTTCGACAATACAGGTCCATTTTCGTGCAAGTAGAGTGCAGGCCAGACAATGAAATCCAAATATCCTCCTGTTTTGGTATACCTCCTCAAAATGTCTGTGTTGAATTCCGTTCCCCGTCTGAATTCAAAGCGGACAAACACGGGTGGATCACGGATTCTCATTCTCCAACACAAACTTGCACACTGTCGGGCGTACAGCTTTGTCTTGGGGGACACCGAAATGTCCACCAGTTTCAGAATGGAAGGAAGTCTTGCCAGAAACATCTTCAAATTAAGAAAGTTTTTTTTTTCAATTTGAAATTTTACGGTATTCGTGTCAGTGGATTTATCTATCTTCGTGTGTTATCTTAATATTTCAATACCCCCCCCCCCCCTTACCTCTTCCATAATCGAGCAACATGCATTGCCCAATGACAACCTTAAATCTGTTAGGGCTTTCTGAACAGGGACATCTGTTCCAGTTATCTGACGGGTCTGGCAGTAAGAAAAAAACGTTTTTATCATAAAATAAAGTTTTAGAAATTATCAGAGATAATTTTAGTTAAATGTTCTTTAAAAATATCTATTATTTCCTAGTATACTTTTGAGTCTCTGGGCCCAAAAATGTTAATATACATCATTGGTGAAGTATAAGATTTACATACAGACATTCTAAGAAATTATTTGAATAATAATTATTTAATGCTAACAATATTTCATTTAATCAATTACTGCCTATCAAACCTCGTTAGTCTTTTCATCAGCTAGTGTGAAGACTGCTTGTCCTATCCTGGTTTCATAATTGGTCTCGGTTCGCACACAGAAAGTGTATGCTTCCTGTGTTTAGTGAAGATGAATTACTTTTCAAAATCATAGATAAGATATGAACTGAAACGACATAAAATGAATACAAGGGACATTGATATCAAACACGAACCTGCAATATTTTTAGAAGAACTTGTATAGTTTCCTCTTCGTTATTGTAAGTATTGTCAAGTTCTTCAAAAGCATCCGTCCACTGGTTGTCGTACAACTCGGAGAACTTTTCTGCTATTTTTGTTGGACGATTGGTGTCACTAAGATCGGTTATTGCAGCATTGCCATGTGTTAACTTAGCGCCTGCTACTTTACTCAATCTATAATCCAGGAAAAATGTCATTCCTCTCTTTTTTCCCTAATTTAAGCAAAAAATAATTTTAAATTGTGATAAAAATTTTGAAAGGCTACCTTGTAAGTGCATTATCTTTCTCTTTGGACACTTCAGCAATATCTTCTCTAAGTTGATTATTTTCGGTCGATAGTTGTGTCACTCTGTCTTGGAGTTTACATGTCTCTAATTTCATGGATTTCAGCTGCTTTTCTGTCTCCTCTAATGTCTTACTTGTTGACGTAATCTTCTCTTCAAAGATTTCATTTTCAGCATGAAGTTTGTTATAACCCTCTCGCAAACGCCGATTTTCTTGCTCAAAATCATTTTTTCTACAATTCAAAAATCGCCCTGTATTTTTAGTTAAAAGATTTTAATGTATTTTCCTAGTAACTTTTGTGGAATTGAATGAATGATGAAAATTTCTACTCTCCTCTCTTTTTCAGAGAGGGTTTCGAATTTATAAGTAAATGAATGTATTGGGGAAAAGATTTTTTCCCCTAAAATAATAGCATGTTAAATTATTTCATTAGACTTTTCATTTAGTGTTTTTAGTTACTGACTTGAGAGATTAAAAATCTGAAAGTAAACCATACATCATATACAATTTTAGCAAAACTCATTTGCATGGCGTTTTCAAAATTTGGCACAAATTTTGCACGGCGCTATCAAGTTGCATTCATAATGACCCTTTTCAAAGATTTCATACATTTTACTTGTAAGTATATTGCTTTGGTTACTATGAATTGGTACATTCACTAACACGCTACAGACGTCGAAATATCCTGCTAAATAACATGTACCGACAGGGAATATGTTAAAATAATAAAATTCTACCTCTCTTTTCCTTTTGAAATCTCTGACAGTTCCTTTTGTAGTAACTTAGTCTCTTCTTCCTTTTGCAAAATGCGCTCTTGAAGTTCTTGAAATGCTTTCATTTTCTGTTGAACCTCCACATTTGATATTTTCAATTCGGCCTCAACTTTGCGAATTCTGTTGTTGAAATAGGAAAAATATTTTAATACAATGTATTCTCGTTGTTAAGTGGAGCGCATACATTCAAAATAAAATGTCATTTCGAATATTTCTGAGATAGTACTAGTATGTAGTCAACAGCTTACCTTGTTAGAGCTTCATTCTTCTCTTTAGATATAACTTCAATACCCTCTCTTAATTTGCTATTTTCACCTTCTAGCTGACTATTCCTTTTCAGCAAACGCTGTTCCTCGGTTCTCTTAATATTAAGCTCGTGATCTGTTTTCTCATATATCTTACTTGCTGATCTGGCATTCTCTTCTTGACATTTTGTCAACTCGGACCGGAGCTGGTTCAAATTTTCTTGTAAATTTTGATTCTTATTATACAATTCTTTCTCAAGGTCATCTTTTCTATAAATAAAATGCATAAAAGTTGAACAGATGACATATACATAAACACATATCTGTGAACTTCAGATTTAATTTGTCACTATACATAAATAAGCTTTTCTTCCAAACCTCTCCAAAGCTCTATCTCTTTCCTTTAAAATTTCTGAAAAGTCCTGCTGCAATGTGTTGTTTTCTGTTTCTTTGTGCCTGATGCGTTCTTGTAAAGTTTGGATTTCTGACTGTTTTCCGAGAACTTCGCTTTGAATATTTCTTATTTTACTTTCAGCTCTTTCATATCTACCATGATAGATAAAGCATTATTCAAAGTGTACAATATAGAGTAATTCAGAATTCTATTCTAACGTCTAAATATCTTACCTTGCCACCGCACTGGCATTTTCTTGTTCTAGCGTTGAAATGCGATGCCGATAGGACTGGTTTTCTGTTCTAGTATTCTGCAATTCTCCTTGCAATTGCTCATTGTCTTTTGAATCTTGAAGTGTATACCTTAAATCGGAAGATAAAAAATCATTTTAACATGACTGAAACTCGTACATTGCACGACAAAGCCTCATTATCTAAGTTAGAACCTGGGGTTTCCGGCGTCTTTTTTAATCTGAGATAATTTGTCTTTTAACTGCTCATTTTCGTTTTCAAGCTGTAGTAATGACTCATTGGAATCTTTCTGTTTCTTTTCTTTTTCTTCCAAACTGAAATATTTCAACATTAAAAAAAAACTACATTGCAAATCTTTAACAAATTTACATAATATCTACTGTGTGCAACAACAACAAATAAAAACCAATTGCCTTTTCCTACTGTCCTCCAATAATTTTTCCAAAGTGGATTTTTCTTTTTTCAATTTCTCAGTTTCTCCATGCAAACGTTGATACTCGCTGGTCTCTGGTATTGCTATCTGTGCTTTTTTAGCATCAATCAGTCTAAATGTCAAAAAAGAGAAATTTTGAAACTATTAAAATGACAATGTCCTATTTTGGTTTGTTCCGTGCAACTGTTTGTTTTCTTACTTTGATTCAAGAGATCTAATTTCTGTATCCTTGTTTTGCAAGCTCCTTTTCATTGAAATAATTTCGTCTTCCTTTCTGTTCAAAGCTACTGAGTGCATCAGTTTTATGTCGCTCCTCTCTTGTAAGCTGTAGTTTGGTATTTTAAAAAAGACATCGACTTTTCAATAATGATCCGTTATGTGGAAATTTTAAAACGCAAATAATTGCAATAAACAAATAAAAATGTCAAGCTGCAAGACTTCTGACGGCGGAAAAAAGAATATGTGTTTACATTTTAATAAAATTTCTCGATAAATTAAAGTTTGGGGAAAAGAGCATTTCACTTCCAAATACTCTAATTTTTAATTCATTTAACTTCGTGCAAAATCCATACTAATATTAAATAATTAAAGAGACTCACTCATATAAAAGATTTTTTAAAAATTAATAACCCTTTTTTTCTTAGTAAGATAAAATAGTTTTCTTACAAACGTCTGTGTTCCTCTTCCAAATCCTTATTTCGTTTCTTCAGAGTGGCAAGTTCTTGTTTGAGCTTTTCTGCATCATTTACATTCGTATCCATTTGCAAATTTAAGAATTGTCTCCTCCTAGCAGTATCGCAAGAGCAGATTTGAATTTAAAACGAAATCAGAATACATGTCAAGCGAATGTATTAATTGTCAAATTATTTTCTTATAAAAATTTTCATGATTTGTTTCAAGTGCTTAAAAACGGAGCAAAAATTTCTTTAATAGTTATTTTGTATAGTGATATCTTATTTAAAAGATGTTAACGTGAATGAGAAAATCTCACTTCATGCATGCTAAACATTAAAAATGTATTAGATATATGGGGGATAGACATATTTTTTCTTACAAACAGCTGTGTTTCTCTTCTAAATCTTTATTAAGCTTTTTCAATGCAGCAAGTTCTTGTTGGAGGTTTTCCTTATCCTTTGTAGCTCTGTTTGATAAAAAAAAATCCCTCATAAATGTATTAAATAAAGCATTTAGTTTTATTTGGGAGGATAGCTGCACAGTTATAGACAAATGTTTCTGTCTTTCATTTAAACAGAATTCTGGGGGGGGTCCATTTCTTTATAGTTTCCCATAAAATGTGATCGTTCATATCGTAATATGGTTTTTATAGGCCTAGGGATGTTGATTTAGAATATGTTAGAGAAATAAGTACTATTAATACGATCAGTGCCCATTTTATGTTTCGTACATGCAACCCTTGCATTATAAGCAAAATATTTAATAGCCTGTAAATTTTATAGTTTTAAACAAACTTGGTTACTTGTCAGATTTCCTGTTCACATTTGTCAAAATTTCTAAATCTTATGGTTACCATATATCCTGTAAGTCTGTTTTTTTGGGGAGTTAAATTTTGGTCCAAAATTCTATGTTCGACTTAAACATCATATATATATATATATATATATATATATATATATATATATATATATATATATATATATATATATATATATATATATATATATATATATATATATATATATATATTAGGGATGGCAACGAATATTCGAACATTCGAATATTCATTCGATGAGTTGATATTCGATTATGAATTTAAGATTCGAATATTCGGTGTTTTTCAGATTTCATAAAAAGAAGTACTGTGATTAACAAATTTTGATTAGAACAGTGCTGAAATTATCCCTCTTTAATTTACTAGCGATCAATTTCGATCGCCTGATTTCTTTCATTACTTTCTTATCTTATAGATTTACTAAATTACATGTACTTTGTTTTGAGTAACGTGTTAAAGAATCGTACAATAATGCTTTATGTATAATAAAAAACGTACTTTCATAGTTTTTTATTAGTTAAATACGATCGGGTCTAGAATCGAGGACAACAAAATGAAAACCTTCTTAGAATGTCTAAAATACATGAAGAGTATACTTATCAAAACAAATTTAAGTGATCATTCAAATGAATGTCCACTGTAATTAATTTTGTAAAGGGCTCAATTTCAGAATAAATGATTATATCTTGGGTTGTACATAATCCTGAATTTTATATTCATTATCGGGAAATTAATTAATTACCTCGGAAAATTGTCTTTGGAAATATCTGTTTATATTTTAAAAACATTGTATAAAAGGTAATAATCATATCTCTTATTAGGCGGATAATTGTAATTGAAATATTGAAATCTGAACAGTATACCGTTACGACTATATCTTGCCTTTGGCAAGACGACTGGTTCCCCAGTTGGAGCTACTATAAATACATATGTTTCATTTGTTAAAATTATAAAATTATATATCAAATAAAATTTCTTATTGTACAACTACAAAAGTCTTCATACAATTTTACTTCCAAAATAAGTATACCTACGCTAAACCTTTCGTGGGAGTAGGATGATGCATATTTAAAATAAAAGAGATTTTATTTATTTTATCGAATATTCGAATATATTCGAATACTTTCATTGAATATTCGAATATGAATTATTGACAAAATTGACATCCCTAATATATATATATATATATATATATATATATATATATATATATATATATATATATATATATATATATATATATATATATATATATATAAAATCCAAATTTAAATGAAAAACTCAAACTTTAATCTATAGCGCTTTCGCCCCATGCGGGCTCATCAATAGATTTGAAATAATTATAATAATCTGTAATATATATATATATATATTGCAAATAATCATGTTTTGAAGTGTTGAAGTCGTAATTGATGAAAAAAAATATCAAAACTATGAACTGATTTATTTACTAAGAATGGGTTAGTGTGTGTTATAATCTTTAAAACAATGTCAAATGCATATCAAATCTCGGGGGTGCAACACAATAACATAAAATAAGGTAACTTCAAAATCTAGTTTTTTTTGTAAAAAAAAAAAAACTTATATATCAAAATTATTTTTTGGCTTAGATTTAAAGAATTGATTTAAATGGACAAAAAAGTTTGCTTTTTTATTGGGAATTTTATATTTCTTTCATATTAAAACTTTTCAAGCCAGAATTGAAAAAAAAAAAATTAAAACAACAATCAAAAAGCCATTTTTTCCACATATACAAGAGATGAAACTCAGTCAAGGTTTAGATCTAATCATTTATGACCCTGATGCCATTTTGAAGCATAAAAAACTATAGTTTCTATTGATTTCGTATTTCAGAAAGCTTTTGGGATGTAGTTATATCTTCTTTTTTCAAATGTAGTTTTACTAATAAAAATTCTGAAAATTTTTTATCCAATTGTCTATGCCATTGCAACTTCAGGAATTTTAATGTATACACAATATGATGATATTAGTGAAAAATATGTTATGGGTAGTTGAATTTTTTTCAAGAAATTTCAATTTTGTGGTCATTATTTTTTTTAATTCACCCTTTTACTTTTGTTGGTTATAGTGCATAATAATAAAATTTATAAGAGATATAGTCGTAAGGATTTTTGGTAATAAATGTACAATATATGAAGAAAATGAAACCATGAAAACGTTTTTTAATTGGGGAAGTGATGTTTAAAAATTTTAAAAATTTTAATACGTATGTTCTTGGTCTAATGATTGTTTATCGAAGCAATTTTTTTTCAACTGAAACAAGAAGCAAATTGAAAGAAAAAGAAGAAAAGGGTTGTCTTTAATGCATTTTTCTCTTGTAAATTTATTTATTAGTCCTTTATCAAAGTTCTTTCATTAATAATTATTCGCTACTGGGTGTTTTGTTTAAAAACAATCATTTAACACTGATAATATTGCCATTGTTTTTGAAATACATATATTTTTATTTCAAAGTATACGAGTACTTACTGCTTTTGGAGTCTTTTATTTTCTTCTTCCAATAACATGTTTTTGTTCAGTAGAGTTTGTCGCTCATTCTGCATTCCAGTGAATCTATGGAAAACACGATTACTAGATTTTTCGACATGAATTTTTAATGATTATCATGTTTAATAAAAAAAAAAATGTATGAAAATTTATAGTTTATAATAAAAACAAAAGGTTCATGGGCCACATCGCTCACCTGAGCACATTGGCTAGGAAGAAGCAAAAATCAGTTCGGTATTGAACGGGGTGGGACAAACTTTAATTTACATTACCTCAGGATGCTTCCATACAATATTACTAATCATGGCTTTGCTGTTCGTAAACAGAAGAATTTTATTAAAGATTTTTTTCCATATGTTTTCCTATGTAAAACTCTGATCTCTCAATGTGGCCCCACCCTACCCACCCTAAATTTGAACAAATTTGAATCTACACTAACTGAGGATGCTTCTATAATAATATGACTAATCATGGCTTTGCTGTTCTTGAGCAGAAGATTTTTTTCAAAATATTCCTATGTATTTTTATGCAAAATTTTGACCCACTGTTGTTCTCCTCAACCCCTGGGGGTCATAATTTGAACAAACTTGGTTCTACAATACCTAAGGTTGCTTCTGTATAAATATGACTAATAATGGCTTAGTTGTTCTTGAGAAGAAGGTTTTAAAGATATTTTCTTTGTAACATCTATGATCAGTTTCTTACAAGGGATATATAGGTTTTCCTTTAACTCTGTCTGAGTTAAAGATTGGAATGATTATTGAGACATCTCTTCTGAGGGTATATCACACAGTACTTAAATTTTCTCTTATCTAGAGACAGGGACTGGGTAAAGTACTACTTGCACCGTGTTTCTCCCCTAGGTTCCCATTGATAGATAAGAACCGGGTGTTTCAATCTTTTTCAGATTTACTACACCCAGAACTTTACATCAATTCCTCAGGATACTTGCCACTGGTGTTTACAACTTTTATACTTTTATTTCGCTCTTACCCTAAAGGTTTTCCATCCCTAATAGGATCAAATTCTCTATCCTTAAATGTCCATCACGTACATAATACTCTGATATTGATTTAAAGCATTTTACAATAGAAAAGGACTTACCAAGAGAACGTTTCAAAAATGTAATTAACTAAGGAGTAATTAATTTACAAAGATTGCATTGAAGTGTATAGGGACAAGCGATTTTTTAAAAATAAAAATTCAAATATAAATACCATGTTGGAATTATGTCTAAATATACTGAGTATTCAACGCCTACACATTTGTTACGTACCGG